CTACTGCACTTCTCTGGGTTTAGGCAGGAACACTATAGGGTAAGTAGACAATGTGAGGTCCTGTTAGACAAGATTCTAGGAAAGGAATGCAGTTAACAACCTGCCGCGTCCTCTTGCACTATTCACGCAGTCCCACCCCACACCCTTGTTTTCGCATAAAACCCACGCTCCTCTTGCAGCCCATGGTCGTATTCTTCCAGGACAGTCACGTCAGCAAGTAGAGAAAGTGAGGGTGGGCAGACACATCGAACTTTCCCACGATATCAGAGAAATTCAGGAATGAAAATGACGTTACATACGAGGTTGATGCATTTGTGCATGTTGTATTAAGCAAGGTATAAAAACAGTTGCTTTATGAGGAATTAGTTCGTACCATTGAATATTTGACGAAATAGACAAGGTGTTGCAGAAACCGATGTTGCTATAACCAAGTTTTACTGTATATATATGAAATTATTGGGTATCATCAATGTGGGTTTTGACATAACAGATCAACTGCTGATCAGATCTTTTGCATTGATCAGATACTGGAAAGAAAATGGGAGTACAAGGAGACAGTACATCAACTATTCATAGACTTCAAGAAAGCCTGTGATTCAGTTAGGAGGGAAGTATTGTACAATACTATTCTCATAGAGTTTGGGGTACCTGTGGAAGATTGTTTCCAGATGTACGACCTGAAGGCTCTTGAGCAGGGTGTTTTATGGCTTTCAGCACCTATGTCAATAATGTGTTGCAAGGAAAAACACTACACACATTGTAATTTTGCCTAAAATTATGCTGCATTTTGATGGCAATTTGACAACCCAACATGATGCTCTATTAAACCAGATGTCCATCTCAACAGCTGCCTGTATATTGCCAGTCAGACTCCCACATTGCAGTACAAACCTGTGGCAATGAAAACCCCTCCACCACTTTTGTACGTATATATGATTAAAAAAATCAGTCTTCTCTAACCCACCCTATACTTTGTTACTTTTCAGGAAAGAGCTATGATACAGAGACTTAGCTGTAAATACATTCATAAATTAAAGATAACAGTTGTTTAAAGCACAGATATTGTATGTCCACTTTAGGTCAGTTTTGTGTGACTGTCTGCACTTGTTCTGCAAGACTATTATAAATCCAGGAATAACCTCAGCTGCAAGGATATAATGCTTATGCCAGATTTTGTGGGAATAACTCAATTGGTTAACATGTTAAAATGGGGGAGAACACAGCATGGTGACCAAAAAATCCTGCTTTATTTTTTTAATGAAAGAGAAGTAGGTTAAATGCCATGCTGTGCCTACTAAACTGAAGACATGCAGAATACAGAATACAAGACTATATGTATGCTGTACGCCGATAATCAGAATTACTATGTAATGATTAATAAACGAAAATAGGCCATATCCTTGCACCCTGCACTTTTCTAAATACTACTTATAAAATATTTTATCCAGAAACATAAGGATCTTATAAATTAATTCTGCAAATCCGATTTTAATAATTTTGCAGAATCGTAATTATCTGTGTAATTTCAGTTATCTTATTGTAATAAATAAAATTCAATAATTGTATTCAAAACACACACTATAAGTGTAAACTTTAATAGCATGTGTATGTTGGATATACCCCAGGGACGACTGAATGCTCAAAAAATATGGCTAAAAATAGTGTGATGTATTGTGTTCTCTGCATACCTTTAATGGAGCACAATTTGGGCACGTTTTAAATTACTAATTCAAAGTCATCAGCATCTTCTCCCAAGAATATTGTGGTGTGGAGCTATTTTTATTTTTGTGTATCACAAATAAAGGAAATGAGAATTTTGGCCAATATATTTTTCTGTAATCTGCGAAAAACAGGAGGCTAAAATGCAGTTCAGTTGCATACAAACATAAAACCATGAAATATGTTTTTATATTATAAAACCCAGTCTGAATGTGAGGTAGTGAGGAATCTGAAAGTGATTCCATTAATACTCTAGAAAGTGATATACTGACAATTTAACACAAGTGTGTATTGCTTTTATGAAGATATTTGTTTTAGCATTAGAACTTAAAACTGAATTACTGGCATACTTTAATTCATTGCAGAAGTTGGAGAATCAATCATGCATGGTGCATTACGAGAATTAGAAGAGGAGGCAGGACTTGTGTTGGATCCCAGAAACACTAACACTCATTTGATTTGTCTTTGGGAGTCTGCATTTCCACCCCTGATAACACTGGGTGAGCCTAAGAGTCATCACGTTGTCCTTTACTTCCATTCAAAATGCCAGGAAACATGGAAGCAGTTACAAGCTAAAATAAAAGTGAGATGCAATTACATATATTTCACTTAACAGCCTACTTTTTTTTATTGCTAGTGGGGTGAGACTAAGTCCCTTGTACTGCGGCCACTTCTGGCCTATTGTACCAGCCCCAGATGATAGATGAAGGTAATTGTGGAGCAATTGGTGGAATGAAGATTGGCAGGGGAAACTGAAGTACTCGGAGAAAACCTGCCCCAGCGCCGCTTTGTCCACGACAAATCCCACTTGACCAGACACGGGATCGAACCCGGGCCGCCGCAGTGGAAGGCAGCGACTAACAGCCTACTTAACACATACTGAAAAGCAGACTGAATCCTACATGCAGGAGTTTTTTTTTCTGTTTACTTATGCATGTAAATATAATGAAAGTTTGAGATTTCACAAGACTATTCTTCATAGGATGCACTTAGCTGTCAAATTATGTAAACTTTTGTAATTATATGGTAATGCAAGATGGTTCAACCAATAGGATTAACAAAATGAGAATATACAATTTGAAATAGATGTGTGATTAATACACATAAGGATGTCAGAGTGTGAAATGTAGCTTGTATGTATATGAAATTCGTTGTGAATGAACCAAACACTGAATGTTGAAAAAGGAATATAAGTGTGATGGCTTTCAACAGAAACATTACTTATAAGAGTCCCATCCATATCATATACAAACCTCATAACACACTCTACTCAGTTAACTCCTTAGTGTCACAAGAAAGAGCAGAGAATCCACAGGGCCAAATACATGGCATTCAACCATTAAGGAAACCTGGCAGCAGCGCTAAGCAGGAACAACATTCCTCACAGATTGCTGCTGTAACTGATGATAGCAGAATGAGTTATTAGTGCTGATAAACGCGCACCGTCAGGTGGTCTGATCTTGTCACTGCAGAAAGTCGCATTAATAGTGAGTCTGTGTTAGAGGTGCCGATAGGTGGTTGACATTTATACTGAAATGAAGTTCACTACTGAACAGCGTGTGTTTATTGTCAGAACTTTCAGAAAATGTGTCCATAAGTTTTGTCATAAATATCCCGACTGTTGCAAAGTTTCTTCATTGGTTGAACGCATTGTAGACTCTACAAGAAAACTGCTTGTTATTGCATTTTAAAGAATCAGAACATAAACTGCTTAAAAGAAATATGTTAAAACTATGTGCTCATTTCTTTTTAAAGCTTGACCCTAAGGAGGTGAAAGCTTGCACATGGCTGTCACGAGCTAATGTACAATCATTAAGATCGGGACAGAATAGCGACAAAAAAATACAGCAGTTTGTTGTTGGAGAAGATGGAGAGATCCGTCCAGCAGAACTGGATGTCCATGGAATGTTCCACACTGCCCTCTGGCAGGATGGGGAGATTTACACGGGATCACAGTTGGCACTCACAAAGTGGTTGGAACATTGGACAGAAACACCAAACAGAACAATTTCCAGCAAGATGTAAACAGTCATGGCCCAAGATGTTCATCATAATATAGCTTTGAAAGTTATTTCAAAACATAGTTGTGGCTTTAAAGAACTCTGCAAATAGCCTACACATTTAATATCAGAGTTTTATTATTATTTGGCCAACACAGTCCTGGTATAAATACACTGTGTTTGCATGTACTCCCGATGTGTAAATACTGGCCCGTGTAGGGAGGTACATCAGAAAGAAAGAAGGGTGATTGTAAAAGCTTGATGTACCTGATGATGGCCACAATAGGCCAAAACATGTAGTACATGCAAACACACATAATAATAAACATTATTTTACACACAATATGATACAGCATATTATTTCTAATATCTGATTGCTGATATGAAGTTAGAAATGTTGTGGCAATGCATCAGTGCAAAAAATTATCTCAGTTAATAAGGTCTGATAGACCAACATTAATTCTTTGTCATTATGATGAGGAAAAGTAAACATTACTTAAGAATGGCTAAAGGTGGTTTCATAAAACATCCAAGTGCTTAGAAGCAAAGAACAAGAAACTTATAAACTGGATTCTTAAGTGAAACTGTTGAAGCTACAGCCATTTTGAGTGTGTCAGTCTATGCAGAAGGTACAGTGACTGTCAAATCAATTGTATGGATAAGTATGTATTTCCATATGAAGAGTATGGTCTTCTGACTTGTAACGCTGTATAGTTTGGAGACAGCCTGGTGTTTCACAGGAACGTATCATCTCCATCTTCAGGACTGAACAATAAGCCAAGCAAGAAACCCATAAGACCATACATTTCATAGTCGTTACCATAAAAACCTCAAACACAACATGTATTCCTTCCATATGTTCACATAAGAGCAGATCAAAAGAACTTACGATTTTACTTCAATATGTGTTTGCATATGTTCTTGTATTTAAGAATTTGTTGTCTGTAATGTACCTAAGTGGTCTATATTATCCTGCTACATGTAGCAGTGCTGTTGTAAAAGGCAACCTTTCCTAAAAATTAGACTAGCCATATGACAGATAATGCCGAACATGGACAAATACATACACGGTGTGTTCAAAAAGTATTGAACCTTTGGTCGGCAGAAATACATTTATTGATTTGGAGGTACAAAACCCTAATCCCCTTCAAAGTAGTCTCCTTGGTAATGCACACACTTCTCCCAGCGCTTCCACCATTGTTGGAAACACTTCTGGAACGCGTCTTTTGGAATGGTGATCAGCCGGGCCGTCGCATTCCGCGTGATGTCTTCTCTTGACTCAAATCGGGTTCTTTTCAGCGGCATTTTCAGCTTGGGAAATAGCCAAAAGTCACACGGAGCCATGTCAGGGGAGTAGGGAGCCTGACTAACCACAGGGATGTTGTGTTTGGCAACGAAAGTCTGAATCAAATGCGCAGTTACGGTATGAATTTTGCGGACACTCTCCTCATGCCCAAATCCTCAGACAAAATTGAATGTACCGATCCAAGTCTTATCCCTATCTCTTTCGCAAGTTCTCGGACTGTCATACGGTGGTCCTCCATGACCAAAGTCCACACTTGCTCAATGACATTCTCATTTCGGCTTGTTGAGTGTCTGCCTGAACGCGGTTCGCTGTCCACTGATGTGCGGCCATCTTTGAAGCGGTTGTAACACTCCTTTATCCGTGAGTTGCTCATGGCATCGTCCCTGGGAATGGTTTCCACTTGGGTATCGCCAAGCTTTTGGCAAAATTTGATGCAATATCGCTGCTCATGTTGTTCCGTCATTTTACACCTTACGGTAATCCGACGAGGGCTCACTACACGTCCTCACTCATAGGCCGACTGCCAGCGACTTATGCTTTCTGCGGGCAGGAAAAAATTCACGACTGCATATGAATGTCCCCTCCACATCTCCACCGAAGGGAGCCTCAAGCGCTTCATTGGTTTACGTGAGAAAAAANTCCACTTGGGTATCGCCAAGCTTTTGGCAAAATATGATGCAATATCGCTGCTTATGTTGTTCCGTCATTTTACACCTTACTGGAATCTGATGCATGCTCACTGCATGTCCTCACTCATAGGCCGACTTCCAGTGGGAAAAAATTCACGACTGCGCATGAATGTCCCCTCCACATCTCCACTGAAGGGAGCCTCCCGCGCTACGTTGGTTTACGCGGGAAAAAAAAAGGTTTGATACTTTTTGAACACCACCTATATCTCATAAATATATCCTGAGCAGAGTTATAAAAGTGGCATTACTGTAGGCTTACATCGAAATTGGAAAATCACAGAACCTGGAATATAATAAAACATGAAACAGGAAAATCACATATGACTGAACAGATACCATTTCTTCTTATAAGTGAAAAAGTAAAGAACCCAGAAATAATTTCTGATGCCTTCAATACTTTATTCTAATCTAAACTTGTATCAGGAAGTGAGAGGTGATGTCATTTCATTTTTAAAAGAGGGATTTCCTAGAAAGTAATCTGGTATTAAGACCATTCCAGCCACTGAAACTGAGACTCAAGTAAAAAAAAAAAAACAAGCATTTTATGACTGAATAACAAGTACAATTTTAAAAATGTGTGCATCTTTGATCAGTTACCCATTAATTCATATCTGTAATCACTTAATATTCACAGGGATCTTCCTGATAGTCTTTAAGATTTCAGTAGTAAGACCACTGTACAAAAGAAAGACAAAACTAGAATGTCGAACTACAGGCCAATTTCACTATTAACTATTAAGTAACTCTATAAAGTACTTGAGAAAGTTATGCACAGTAGGTTAAGCCATTATTTGCAGACTAATAATATACTAGTCCCAGAACAGTTTGGCTTCAGGAAAGGAATATCCACTAAAAATGGAGCCTTTAAGCCAACAGTGTATTAAAATCTATTAGTGAAAAATGCATGTTGGTAGAATATTCTGTGATTTGGCAAAAGCTTTTGACTGTGTAAACCACGAAATTTTATTAACTAAAAGACTTTTTTTTTTTTTTTTGCATTCAAGGAGCAACAGTAAGTCGGTTCAGATCCTACCTAACAGATAGAAAACAAAAGACTGAATAGAATCATCAAATTTAACCCAAATACCCGCTCAAACAATAAAGCATGGAGTTCCCCAGGAGTCAATTTTAGGACCTGTGCTTTTCCTAATCTATATAAATGACCCCCCCCCCTCCTATACTAAACACCCTGTCAGTACCCATAATGATGAAAGCAGTCTTCCGGGATGTGACACCATGTAGATATAGTGTTAACCGATGTTTTGGAGGAACGTATCACCTCCATCGTCAGGGTTCGCTCACGGATTTCTTCTTGTTTTCTACCCTGAAGATGGAGACAATACATTCCTCTGAAACTAGAGATATTAACTCTCCCGTGTAAATATATATTTTCATTAATAAGTTCATTACAAATAACGAAGAACCTTTTCAGACCAATGTAGCTGTACACAGTGTTAACAGAAGGCACAAGCACTAGCTCCATAAATCAACTGCTAACCTCTCATGCTTTCAGAAAAGCACATAAGCTGAGATTAAAATTTTCAGTAATCTGCCATCTGATCTCAAAAGTCTCATGAACAAAAACGCAAGATTTAAAATAGCACCAGAACAATACTTCAACAACCATTCAACTATGCCGATGAATAATTGTTGTCTAAAAATGACTCATTCATTTAAAGATTGTGTAGATAGTATAAGTTGACAACTCTGATGTATATATGTATTTTTGAATAGCCTCATGTGTAACCACTGTGTTTTCTTGTGTGAAAACTTCAGTTGTACTGTATATGTTTTTGTATTTCTATGACATATTCCACATGCTACAGTCATTTTGACTAACTTTGGATCCAGGGAATGCAATGCAATGCAAAAAAAAAGTTTACAATATTATATTTAAGCATCCTGTTGCACTCTACACGACAAATTACACAAACTCTGTCCCAAGTGCAAACAATATATATTATATGTCTTCGATCTTGCTCTCTTCTACACTACATGTTTCGGCCTCTAGTGGCCATCATCAGGTGTATACCCTTACGTTGCTGCCACACTGAACCCAGTCTAAAATTTAACATTTAAAAAACACATCGTTACTTTCTTCGTTATTATCAACATCTACCTCGTTGATATCTGTCTGGTATGTAGATTATTTTGCACACGTCAATTTTGATTTTCCTGTAGTAGCACTATAAAATCTTTAGTTATAATTTTAAAATCCTTTAAAATTTTCTCTAAATTTTAAATTTAAAATTGTTAGGGTTACTCGCCCTATGTCTAAAGTGCTGCAGCGGCTAGTTCTTGTTTCCACACTGTACAGGTGTTATTCTGTGTAGTCTTCCAGTGTGCGTGCCGCTGCTTGTCTTTACTACGTGTCAGTTCAGTGTGGCAGCAACGTAAGAGTATACACCTGATGATGGCCGCTAGAGGCCGAAACATGTAGTGTAGAAGAGAGCAAGATCAAAGACATATAATATATATTGTTTGCACTTGGGACGGAGTTTGTGTCATTTGTCAGAAAAAAAGTTTTTTGAACCCTAGACCGAACTGTACTCGTACAAAAAATAAATCATGTTAAGGACAGCAATTTGTAATTTTTTTTACACATTCCTAGTTCTAAAAGAAAATGTGCTTAAATTGTTTTAAAAACCTCTTCATTAGCAATCTTTACTTGTTATGTATTACACTGGAAGCTGACTGTATAACCTGTGAATGTTTATCACAACCATCTCACAGGAAATACTGAAACAGATTTAGGGCATTTTGCTAGTAATGTGAACTGAGATCACCCATGTGTTTCATTTAAAAGAGTCATATGCAGTAGGGTAGGTATACTGCAGCCTCTCAAAATTTAGTGTCATGCAAGGCCACAATACAACCCACTTCCCCACATTAGGCTGCTGTTACTAAGACGAAGTCACCATTACATCTGATGGCACTGCTAGAATTTGTGTGGCTATTTTCAGCTTTGTGAAGTGTGGTTTCCATTCAGTTCCGTCTGTGCTGACAGTCACAAATAATATGTAGAACTAAGTCAACTTAAAACATTTTGATCAGTAATATTAAAACAGAAGTTAGAGTAGTAAACTTTGCCACATCAAAAAATCTTACTGTCAAAAGTACAATGTTCCCACATCATAACATTCATAAATTTACTTGGACATCTCCTGATGGGAAGATACACAATCAAATAGACCATATTCTGATAGATAGGAGATGGCACTCAAGTATACCTGATGTCCGATCATTCAAGGCAGCAGATTGTGATACTGACCACTACCTGGTGGTGGCAAAGGTTAGGGAAAGACTGGCAGTGAGCAAACAAACAACACACAGAGTTCACATGGAGAGGTTCAATCTCAAGAAATTAAATGAGGTAGAGGGTAAAGAGCAGTATCGTGTTGAAATCTCAAATAGGTTCACAGCTTTGGAAAACTTGGGAACTGAGGTGGATGTTAATAAAGCTTCGGAAACTATTAGAGAGAATATAAAAATGTCTGCCAAAGAGAGTCTAGGTTATTATGAACTGAAGAAGCATAAGCCATGGTTCGATGAAGGATGCTCAAAATTATTAGATCAAAGAAAACAGGCCAAATTGCAATGGTTACAGGATCCAAGCGAGTTAAATGGGGATAATCTGAACAATATAAGACGTGAAACCAGCAGCTATTTCAGGAACAAAAAGAGGGAACATCTGAAAGCAAAATTGATGAGCTTGCAATGAACAGTAAGAACAAGAACATTAGAGACCTGTATAGAGTAATAAATGACTTTTAAGAGGGGTTACCAGCCTAGCAGTAAATTAGTGAAGGAAGAGAATGGTGATCTGCTTGCAGATTCCCACAACATTTTGAATAGGTGGAGGAACTACTTCTCTCAGTTACTGAATGTACATAGGGTCAGTGAAGTTAGGCAGACAGAAATCCATACAGCTGAGCCGTTAATACCTGATCCTAGCCCTTTTGAGGTTGAAAGTGTTATTGCAAAACTGAAACGGTATAAATCGCCAGGTAGTGATCAAATTCCGACACAACTTGTTCAAGCAGGA